ATCATATTTTAAGTATAAAACTTTTAATAAAATATCAACTACAAACTAATGAGCAAGGTTATGGCCACATATCAAAATGACAAGCCACCCAAACTCTTAAATATTGTATTTTAAAATATTGATCATATTTAGTTTAATCATTAAAAATAACTTATAACTTTAATTATTAGTTAATAAATGATAAAATAACAAATATTTATTTATTAATAAATTAAAATTAATCTATATATTAATATTTTTAAATATTATAATTAAGCATTTAAAAAATTAAAATTTACATAATTTTAACAATATAATATATGACCATAGCTACACACTTTAATCTATATATATAAAATGTTATTTTATGTATTAAATAGGATATATATTTATATATACATTTATAATATATAATAATATTATATAATCTATTTTTATTTATTATTTATTATATAATTATATACTAATTAATTTTTTGGTGGTAACTAAAGAGTAAATTAATTAGCCTTACAAGTTATCATTTAATTTGAATTCTAAAAGAATAGAATATGTAAATAAATCTATTTAATAATATGAATTCAACTTTTTTATCTTTTCATATTTTTTGTTTTTTACTTCTTATCTTTATATTATTAATTATTTTATCATTATATACATAATATAATGTAATTATGATGCGTTAAAATAAAAGAAAATGAATAGATGTTTAAAATTTATGAAAAATAAATATATAAGATTTTAATACATAATATAATAAGTATTTATACGGTTATAATTTTTTCTAATATTTTGATTTTCTTCTTTTTTATGTACAATGTCATTCCATCTTCCTACTCATCTATATATAAATTCTCACTTTTCTTTACACCAATATATCATATTCACATTTTCATCTCTTCAATTTCATTTTATTAGTACGGTGAGTTCCAATTTTTTTCTTTTTTGTTTCCTATTTCATATTATATCTAAATATAATACTATGTTTTTATTTTATATATCTTTTTTCATCTTAGTCTAAAATATGTATATATCTTTTTTCATCATAATCTAAAATATGTATATTGTTGTATAAACTATTTTTCTTATTAGTTTTATTATTTTTTTATGAAGTTTTTTATAGAAGATATGATAATTGTTTTTTTGAAAGAATTTAATAACTTTATCTATTTGAAATTTATGTATTATTTTCTTTTTAGATTATTAATGGTTCAATTTTTTTTTTTTTTTTTGGTATGTGGTAAGGACAAAACTTTATTCAAGGGATTGGAGAAAATGTATGAATTTGATAAATGTCAAGTTATATGAAAATATTACATTTTTTTAAAGATATTATGTTTTTTATTTTATTCATATTATATTATTATTAACTTTTGAATTCTTTTAAATATAAAAATTCTACTTCACATTTTTTCTAAATTGTATATATATCTAATCACTACTAAAATTCTTTTTTTCAACAACAAGAAATTGCTCGTTGGTGATATGAATTTTCACCAATAAGACCCATATTGTTGATACTTAAATAGTACATAAGATCTCAAAAAGTAATCTTTATTTTCAGCAACATGATTTTTGTTGTTGAAAGTAAATTTCAACAAGAACCATGTTGTTGAAATTTTTTGATGAGTTAGGCTATTATTCATTGATTGGCAACTGTACCATACCATAAATTAATCAGCAACATGGGGAGCATGTCGGTGATATGGATTTTCACCAAACAAGACCCATGTTATTGATAGTTAAATAGTACTAGTAAGGGCAGTCTTCCACCTCTTTACTTTGTTTGCAGTAACCTTCTGGTGACGAGCAAAAGCTTCGCCAAAGCACCCCCTATGGTTGCGGACATCTGATGGATCCACATGGAAGAAAATGGGTAGAACCATTGTTGGGATTAGGCCCAACACTCGCTTCGGGCCACATGCAGCAAGCCCAATTATACACCCACAGGCCCAAGATGAGGAGACATGCTCACGTGGGTAGTAACATGTGGACCAATCGGATGAATATATGTCTAAGCTCATGTCAGCATTTGGGGCTATAAATACCCCCCAACTACCTCCACGCAAGGTATTAACTTTCTTACATCTTTCTCTCTGCAATTACTCTTTGATAGCATCTCTCTCTAAAGTGTCGAGTATTGCTGACTTGAGTGTCGGAGTGTTTTCCTCGAGGAAACATTCTCTGGAATTTCAGGTGTGGAAGCAGCCAAAAACTACAACACTGTTGGATCGTGAAGCTACCCAAATATTTGGCGTCGTCTGTGGGAAACAAGCAAGAAGTTGTGTAGCTTAACCTGCTGAAAGACAAAATAGTTTGTACCTTTAATAGAAGTCGTCCCCCGAGAAATGAAATGGATGAGCAAGAGGACTCTTAGCTATCTGAATTTGGCTTGAATGATTTTAGGCCGATGCTGAGAAACCTTTTCGTTGGAGGAGCAGAACAGGATCAACTAAGTGGAACAGATGATGATGAAAGAACACCAACTGGGTATGCAACTCAGCCTGAACAATTCCAAATTCCAACAAGAATGAGGCAAAGACATCCCAGACAAGGTATTCCACAAAATGAGCGACCTAAAAGGTCAACAAAGCTTGCTTGGACAATCGAGCTCGAAAAGAGAACAAGGGTTCTCGAAATGGCGATGGGTAAAATCCTTGACCGTCTAATTCCTGATGACCCCCTAATTCCTTTGCTGAATAGGGACACACAATCAGCGGCAGTAGTTGCAACCCATAACTCCCCGACCCTAAGCAAGGTAGGGGTCCCGACCAGACCAAGGGGAAGTGGGAAGTTAAATCCAGAACCTAGCTCGTCCAAGCATAATGAAGAGTTGCTAAAGAAAAATGCCGACCTTGAAAGACAGCTTAAGGATGTGCAGAAGTCCATTGACGAGCTAAAGAGTCCTAGGTCACGCCAGCAAGCTCTGGACTTGGATAATGCCCCCCTCAATTTGTCCATTAAGGCTAAACCATATCAAGAAGGATTTAAGATTCCTCATTTGGAGACATACGATGGCTTCGGAGACCTGGATGAGCATTTGCATACTTACCAAGCCATTATGAGGATCCAGAATGCCACTGATGCCATGATGTGTAAGGTCTTCCTTGCGACCTTGAAGTCAACAGCTAGAAGATGGTACCACAAGTTACTTAGACATTCCATATCCTCCTATTCTGAGCTTGCCACTCTGTTTTCGAACAAGTTCGCGAGTCAAAGAGAGATTAAGTGCACCGCTACTAAGCTAATGTAAGTTCATGAGAAGGAGGGAGAATCTTTAAGGGACTATATGCAACGGTTCAATAAGTCCACTCTGGACATTGATAATGTCCCGGATACCATCTGCTTATCAGCTTTGTTGCATGGCCTTAAACCTGGCCGGTTTCTAGACAACTTGCTGGAGAATCCATCTAAGTCGTGGAATGAAGTGAATGATAGGTCGGCAAGTTTCATACAGTCCGAAGATTTTCAATCTTCTAAGAGACAAGCTGATGATAGATAGGGTAAAGAGCCTAGGCAGTCTAAGGGAAGTGACGAAAAAAAAAACAGAAAGTTGGCGAGCAGAGAGGAAAACCGCCATCCTATCCAAAATATGACAGTTACATTCCCCTGAACTCGTCCAGGTCCCAGATATTGGCGCATATACAACACTGGGTCAAGAGACCCCCTCCCCAAACGCATGATTCTTCACGCGTTGACAGAAGTAAGTATTGTGACTACCATTGTGGATACGGCCATAACACGAAAGATTGTTAAAGCTTGAAGGACGAGCTTGAATTCTTAGCTCGCAATGGAAAATTGGAGGGGTATGTACAAAAGCCTTACGTCCGGCAACCCATCTAGACCCATTTCGTGCAAAAGTATTGCCGGTCTCAAGCACCTGGATATTAGCTCGGCAACAATCCAATTCCATACCAGGCGAGTCAATACTCGTCCAAGCCGAACAAAGCATACAGGGGACGCCCATTCAATAGGCAAGGGCTAGGATAGAAAACATCCACACAGAATCAAAAGGACCACAGAGGGGTTGGATACAGTGGGATTGGATACAGTGGGATACCCCCACCATCTGGCACAATCAATATGATTTATGGTGGTATGCATTCAGGAGGCCAGAGTGCTCGAGGTCGTAAGGCATATGCTCGCCAAGTAATGACAGTAAACAAGAATCGGCCTCTTAAGCGCCCATTTGAAGAAGCAGAATGAGAAAATGCACATGTTATGTTCACTTCGTGCAGGGTCTTTTCTCTGTCAGCCTTTGTCTTCTTAGCTCAGTCCTCTGCATGATTGACCTCCTCCTTGGCAGCTTGAATGTTGCTCTATTTCTCTACTTGAGCTTTTTCAAGCTCCTCTCTCAGCTCGTTGACCTTGCGGGCCAACTCGTCAGCTCGGCTCTCTGCTGACGCCGCTCTGTTCGCCATCTCCGAGCTCTGCAAACAGCTGACCTCGTCAGCCAAACTGCCTTTTTCAGAGGCCAGTTGTTTACAGTTTTGTTCGAGCTTGCGGTTCTGCACCAACGCTCCCTGCTTGCACTCGAAGAGTGCGACGGTGTAGCTGAACACCTGCCATATATATTCACTCGTCAGTTTATAGCACAAAATGATAAAATACAACAATGAGCTCGGTAAGTATACTTACATCCATCAGCTTGATTAGAGCAGCATGTCCTCCGTGTTGTTGAACGTGCCCTTTCGCACGTTGCCGGTCTGTAGGAGGCACAAAGCTTTGCATATCTTACAGCATTGCGGCTTGGCAGTTAGTTCTTACGTAACTGAAGCCATCCGAGTATGCAATGCTTGGCCCCACTACAAACAATGAGACAGGTGCTGGCTCAGCGACCTCACGTGCTGGCGCCGGGGGCATGTTGGCAGGTCGCGCTGCAACGGCTGGGGCAAGCTGAGTCCCCGTACTCGTCCTTCATCGGATGAGGGGAATGTCATCCTCAGCATCAGAGTATTCCCTCGCGCGCCTTCTTGAGCTCGAGGGCACAGTTTCAACTCTCTGCTCGACACGTGGTCTTGGTGTTGAGCTGGAACTTCTGTGAGATGAACTACACCTTGGTGTAGTAGGTGGCCGCTCGTCAAAATGATTTTGATGTTGGGAACCGGACCCAACTCCACGGTTCCTCGAGCCTTGTGCTCATTGACGTTGCCTCTCCAAGATGCTGCTCATTTCTCTTGCACAAACAAAGGCATAAGACTCAGATCGACTAGAAATTATACTATGTTATAGAAATATACCTTCAGTATGTAGGTTTGTCAGGTCGACAAACCCAAGTAGTGCGAGCTGCTCCCGGGTAACCAAGGCTTCCAAATCCACCAAACCCCTCGCCTTCACATGATCGAGCAGCTGGTTCTTCAGGTCGACATCACCAACAGTCAATTGTGGGTAGTTCATTTAAGCGTTGGGCACACGCCACTCTGATAGACGAGTGGCGAGCTCGTTATTAATTCTCTTAGTTCGTGTATCTCGAACGAAGATAAATTGTCTCTTCCACCTCGCCACCTTATTCTTGATGTTGGTGAATATATCATCTTTTATCTCCCAAAGATGTAGTACCATCTCGTTCTGCTGATGGAGGGACACAGACGGCACAAGAAGAGTGACCTGAAGACCATAGCCTTGGTAGGCATCCTCAACCTTTCACACAATAGCATAAAGCCTATAATAAACTTTATGTTGTTGGGAGTTAGCTGCGTTAGGGCCAGCTCGTACTCTACCAGGACATCAAAAATTAGTCCGAGCAGAGGAAAATGTAGATCGGCGTCAAAATGGTCTACGTATATTGGCACCTAGTTCATCCTTAATACTGAACACGCCCGTTCGTTTGGTGTCCCAGCTCAGATCAGGATGGTTCTGGGGATCTGGTATCGTCTCACCATCTCCTCTAACTTCTTATACCCCTTCACTGTGGCCGCGCCATCTGCAACTTTGTGATGCAGCGCCGCCCTGAACCTAAATCCGGTCGGTAGGGTTTTGGGGGCCTTACGAAGGTTATCCAATCTCCCGTTGATAACCTTGCTCTCCCACCCCTCTAATACAACCACCTCCGCCTCTGCACCTATCACCGGTGCATTGCAACCAGCTTCTTCAACACCCTCCGCTTCACCGGTGTCTCTTCCGTGGACGAATCGCTGGAAGTTGAAGACCGATGGTCACCAGAATCACCACCCGTGCTCGAACTAGTGCTACTCTCGGGTGTGAGGGTTCTGGGCAAATCTTGCAACTTCGGTGGCACTATCATGGTGATAGGCTCCACTGATATCACATCCACTTCGTCTTCCCTACCTTGGTTACCCCAAAGCTCTCTCGCATCGTGAAAAGAAGCCATTTTTACCTGAACGTCTAAAACTGATTGTCCTTTCGCTGAAAACTCTTGGAATAGCCTGGAGCGTCTCTGCCACCTTCTTTGAAGAAAACACTAACGTATTGTGTAATGGAACAGAGAATGACTGAGTGATTACTTTTGTTTTTTGTCCTTCAAATGGTGCCCATCGAACGCCGTACGCGTGTTTATGGCCCCCCAGTTAAACGTGTCTACGTGGCACCCGTTTATGGTTAAGCGCCCAAAACTCACCACCTGTAGCTGTTACGTCCCCTCAAATGCTGAGCCAGCATTTATTGCGGGAAGGCAGAGGGATATCTGCCGTTGGCAGAAGAATACCAAACGCTCTAAGCAAATCTCCTCAGAGATTTGCCCCAATTTTAAATTTGAAAAATCTTTAGGGATCAGCTAGTAACGAATCCGAGATCTCATTAGAGATCTGCCCCAATTTTAAATTTGAAACATCTCGAAGGATCAGCTCGTAATAAATCCGAGATCTCTTCAGAGATTCCAAATTTGAAAAACATTTAGAGATCAGGTCGCTACAAATTAGAGATTTACCTCAGTTTTGAACATCAAACGTTAGATCGTTACCAATTCTCTCATATTTACTCTGTATCCCGGAGATCTACATTATAGTGATGATTAAGGTCAATTACTTCAGCTCATCTTGTTATTCACACTCCATCAATATGGGTTTAGTTTTTAATTTATTCTCTTAAATATCAGGGCAACCTTAGTATATACAATCTTGAAAGGTTGGATGGCTCAGCTCGTCCACCATCTGCTCTCCTTTGCACGCCCGTTTAGCTCGCCGATTAGCATCGAGTTCGCGTTGGTTTTAACACCAGCTTCCTGCGCTTGCTCGGTAGGAAGCCGGCATACACATGCCTATCAGACCAGGCCACACTGGCTTCCGGCTGCCCAGATCAGTCATGCGTGAGGTGAGTCATGAACCATAAAACGTCACTCCTCATCCCCAGGGTCAAACACCGTGCTAATGAGACTCTCAACCCAGTTCGTCAATCGAACATTGAGGGGGGAGTAATGTTGGGATTAGGCCCAACACCCGCTTCGGGCCACATACAGCAGGCCCAATTATACACCCACAGGCCCAAGATGAGGAGACATGCCCACGTGGGTAGTAACATGTGGACCAATCGGATGAATACATGTCTGAGCTCATGTCAGCATTTGGGGCTATAAATACCCCCCAACTACCTCCATGCAAGGTATTAATTCTCTTACGTCTCTGTCTCTGCAATTACTCTTTGAGAGCATCTCTCTCTAAAGCGTCGAGTATTGTTGACTTGAGCGTTGGAGTGTTTTCTCCGAAGAAACATCCTCTAGAATTTCAGGTGTGGAAGCAGCCGAAAACTTCAACAGTGTTGGATCGTGAAGCTGGCCAAACAACCATCTACCCCAACTTGTCCCTGCAAGCAAGGATCTTGACGAGCTCATCCAGGCACCATCTAGAACCAACATAGTTTGTGGAGTTATTTGTAATTTTTTTAAGGAAAAAGGAAATTGATCTCGAGTTAGTATTAAGGCTTTTGTGTTCTGTTTTGGTTGCCAAGAAAATGTGACTGTTTTTTTTTCCCTTTTTTTTTTTTTTATCAAATCATCTATTGCATCATTCAATTGACCTTGATTTTCACCCTTAATCATAAGAGTCGAATCTAGGAAGAGGTAGAGTTGACTATACAATATCATGATTCAACTTCAAAATTTCAAAGAATGGAGTGTTTTTGAAAACAGTTCAAAGTGAAGTTTTCAATAAAATATTCAACCCTAAGCATTAAATAGAGTTGGCATTAAATAGAGTTGACTCTACATTGTAAGAGTTGACTTTTACACAAAAAGAGTCTATTCTCATTTTTAATAATTGACTCTTAAAAAATTTATTTTATATTTTTATCTGAAATATTTATATAAACTTAAATATATGTCCATATTAGTTTTTAAAATTATAAATAAAATTCTACTAATGTAATTATATTAATTAGGTTAAAACCCCTTTTTGGTCCCTGAACTATTGTACGGACCCCCGATTTGGTCCCTGAACTAAAAAAATCCCTGATTTGGTCCATACTGTTTACCATTTTTACCCCGATTTGGTCCTTCCGTTAAAAATCGTCCGTTAACTCATAGATATATCAAAAATTTAAGCCACGTCAGTTGTACACGTGGATAAATAATGACATGGTCATACCCAACACAAAAACAAAAGTGGGGCCCACCAAATTACAATTTTGCATCATCTTCTTCCTCCAGCATCTTCTTTCTCGAAACTTCCTTCATTCACACAATCAATTCAATCAAATAATCAATTC